TGTTATGGATTTTCCTTGTGTGCTTTATATATAGATGTTTTCTTTTCTCACCGTACAATTTGTGGATGTTTTAGGTGAGGAAGATCCAGCTATGAGTGGAATCTAGAATGTCAACAGTTGAATTATGGGTATGCTCTAATTTGTGACATCGGGGCAGAGGATTTCTAGGATAGGGATTTTTATATGGATTTGGAGTTGTATTTATTATTTTGAAAGCAATTTGTAAATTCTTATATTTTATTTTCAAAGTTTTATTTTCAATTATTTTGGATATTGAAGAATAATTATGAAGATTTTATGTGAACACTTTTTACCAATGTTGAAAAATTTATTCGTTAGTTTTAATTACATTATTACAATTTATGTGTTGGGGTAGTAAGGGTGTCACAAAAGTGGACAATGGGACCCAACCTGCATCCAATCCAGTCGCCCATGCTAGGGTTCCACCTGGCTTGGAATCAAATGCAGGGAAACCAACAAAAGCGGCTTAGATCACAAAGGATCCAAAAAATCTCTATGGTCCATGGATGCTAGTAAAAAGGCGCAAAAAATTTGGGAAAAATAAATCCATCCTGAGAAATAAGGAAAATTCCTTATCTTTAAATATTGCATCACATATTATGGTAAATGATTATATTCACCCGCATCATGGTTTGAATATGCTATCTAAACAAGATAATAATCCTCTTTCTCCAAATCAATCATTGGAAGATAATGCCATGCAATCTATGCAAGATACATCATTTGTCCAGCCACCACAAATCATGAAAAATTTGGATAAGTAAATCACGCAAACCACGAAAAGCATGATCAAGATACACAATCTGTTAGCAGGGAAAACTTGCCAAGCATCACGTGGTGGTGCTGGCTCGCTTGCAAGGAAGGATTATTCTAAATCCCGAATATCCATACCTCCAAAAGTATTAAAGAACACGCTTCAAGCTGTTGGACCATCTATGTTTGCTAAATTAGTGGCTCAAAAGAGATCTTTATGACTTGTACCTGTCTGGTGGGCACACTAAGTCTTCTGGAAGTCCAAAGGCCGAACGAGAGCTCCGATCCAATGCACTGGTGAAAGGGTTGGTACCTACAAAAGGCACTCCAACGCTCAAGTCAGGACAAGCTCGAATATCTAGGATAATTAATGAACAGTGATGTTACCTTTTGTCTTGAGCTATTTATACTGACATTTATGGGCCCTGACCTCTCTGGGCCCTATGACAAGATTACCATATTAGGTAATACGCCTCTAATCGGCTTATCAATGTGATTAACTCTTAACTCTTGATTAAGGGTAATTCTTGTCCCTTGATTAATGATAGTTCGTATTCGATAGGTATCCAATGGCCGATCAGCCGTCGGCCACCTGGTTCGACCCTTCAGGAGTCGATTGGGTGTCGGCCACCTGGTTCGGCCTTTCAGGTGCCGATCGAGTGTCGGCCATATGGTGGCCGACAGGCCTTACCAGTACACTTGCCCCCCAGCCTTGGGGAAGGTGTACTTTCTTCAAGGGTTTAGCGGTTAAGGTATGGGAGGAGTTGAAAGGTTAGGGTCATCTCTGCCATTGGATCTTGTAGATTTGTTGGTTTAAGGTTTTAAATATTTGAATTTTCCCACCTTTTTCCATGGCTATATATAGCATTGTGTGGTAGGGCCTCTCACGCGTATCGCTTTCAGCCGAGTAGTATCATTTGAGCAAATCCGATCCAGCAGCACGCGCCGAGTGATCGTTTCAATCTCAACTTTCTGGTAAGTTTTATTGGATGGCTACTGCTTCCGAGAGCTCTTCGGCGAGTGGGGTTCGGTCATCATCGTCCGAGGGGTCGTTGTCTAGGGCTTCGGGGCCGTTGCGTAAGGAGACGTCGTCGCCGAATGGGGACAGGTCTAGCGAGGACGTGAGTACTTCCGAAGAGACCTCAACCAGTGGGAGTGAAGAGGTGCCGATCCGAGTCAAGCGTGTTTCCAATCGGCAAAAGTATGGGCCTTCCGAGGTTCCTGGGTACGAGTGGGTCAATGGAGAAGTGACTTCCTACTATTCTCTCTATCAAGATACCACCATGATAACCAACTTATTGGGGTATACCAAGTGTTTGTATTTCAACGCTGGCGAGAATCTATATCCGATTGGCGTGCGTGCTTGCCGAAACAACGCATTTCCCGATCCGGACGTGGTGTGCTTGGACAAGCGAGCCGATAGGATGGCCTTATTCTACATTTATGATTGCCTTCTGTGAGATCTTAAGGTGAGACTACCATTTGATGAGTTCACTATGGGAGTGCTTAAGGTCTTGAACGTTGCGCCGACCCAACTACACTCGAACAGCTGGGCCCAACTTCAAGGTTTCAAGCATCTATGTCTATGTGTGAACATTAGCCCTTCACCCCTACTTTTTCTCTCTTTCTATTCGTCCCGCCCTTCGGATTTGGCCAAATGGGTGTCTCTTAGCCGAGTAGGGTCTCGGCAGCTGTTGGATAGCTTTACGTCGTCGTACAAGAATTTTAAAGCGAGATTTTTCCGAGTGACCATTCGTCCGAACGGGAGGCGTTTCTTCTTCGGGGCCGACGACAAGAGCTTTTTTCCATTGTACTGGACCCGTGCCCCTCGGCTGTATGATGTAGTGCCGGATGAGATGCTCACAGCCGAAGAGCAAAGGGATTTGCAATTTTGGCTTCAACTTCCTAGGCGCTTGCCAACTAAGTCTTTAATAAACGTAGTTGAGTCTTCCCGATGGGAGAACGATTTGATAGGTATGTAATTTTCCTATTTCGGCCTTTAAGTAAATTCCTATTGATGTTTACTTGGTTATTGGTGCAAGAATTATGGTGACAAGTGGTGCCGATGAGTTCAACATCCGCAATCTTTTGGTTGGTCGGATGTAACAAGCTAAGGCGTCGGGGGTTGTGGGCAGTTCGGCGCTTGCCCAAACGCCTCGTCCAGTACAAGATGACCGAAATTCGCCTACCCCGGACCGAAAACGCCGAAAGGTGAAGAAGGGGAATGAGGTTATTTAGGAGGGGCCGAAGCGAAAAAGTAATGAGGAAAGGTCAGAAAAAACCAAGAAATCCAAGCACTCAGTGTCCTCCCCGGGTGGGATAATTATTTGTGTGCCCCCCATGCTAATGTCTAGGGCCTTTCTGAGTGAATAAGTCATTGCCGAGTCACTGGTTCGGCCAAACGCAGTCTCGGATCATGGCCGCGAATTCTTGGGCCAGTTGGATACCATGGCCAAATGGAAATATTTTTGTGAGGTGCAGTCTCGGTCGCTGGCACTCGCGCACCACCTCGCTATGGAGCCAATCGGCTAGTTGATTCAATTAAGACAAAGGGTTGAGGATGCCGATAAGGCCACAGCCGAGGCCGTGGCGGCTACCGAGGAGGCATCAGCGAAAAGTTGCCAACTTGCCGCCGAACTTGATGTGCAGCGGCGCAACAATGATACTCTTCGGTTGGACATGCAAAAAGCCGCGAACGAAGAAAAGCGCCGAATGGAGGAAGCTAAGGCGGAACTAGAGCGGGTGAAAGAGCAAGCCAAGGAGCGTATTGTTGCCCAGCATGAAGCTGGGTTTCGCCATGCTCTTCGGCAAGCACAACACTTCGGTCGCTTTAGGGAGGGCTTTGAATTTGACATGTCGAAAGATATCTACCAAGGGTATTTCATGGCTTTCCAGGATATGCCCGAGGGGGCCATCCCCGACAGCGACGCACCGAATGATGACCTCGAAGACGAGGAGATTCCTGATGCTTCGGATGGTGAGGCTGAAACCCACCAAGAAGAGCCGAACCAAGACCAAGAGGGCGAGCCCGAGGTGCAAGATGACGCGGGCAACAACACCGAAGAGTAATCGTGTTGGGGACTTGGTTTTTTGTATGGTAGGCCGATAGAGCCTTTTTAACTTGATTGCAATTTATTTTTCTTGTAGTGTTGGCCGATAGAGCCTTTTGATGTTTATTAAATGACAAGTGCTTATTTTTTAAGAAACTTGGAATTGGACTATGTATGACTTGCACTTTTATCTTGATTGTTTTTGGATCAAAACCGAACGGGTTCGTTCGGATTTGATTGCTTTTGAATCAAAACCGAATGGGTTCATTCGGACTTGACTTTCTTTTTGAATCAAAGCTGAACGAGTTTGTTCGGACTTGATTGATTTTGGATCAAAACCGAACGGGTTCGTTCGGATTTGATTGCTTTTGAATCAAAACCGAATGGGTGCATTTGGACTTGACTTTCTTTTTGAATCAAAGCCGAACGAGTTTGTTCGGACTTGATTGATTTTAGATCAAAATTGAACGGGTTCGTTCGGATTTGATTGCTTTTGAATCAAAACCGAATGGGTTCATTCGGACTTGATTGATTTTGGATCAAAACCGAACGGGTTCGTTCAGATTTGATTGCTTTTGAATCAAAACCGAACGAGTTTGTTCGGACTTGATTGATTTTGGATCAAAACCGAACGGGTTCATTTGGACTTGATTTCTTTTGATGATGTATAACAGTTGTAGTTGATTTATCTGAACCTTGTGTGAATGCCGAAGGCGCATCCTTGGCCGAGTGGGGTCACTCGGGAGGGTAGCCTTTAGAGTGAATTCCAAAAGCGCATCCTTGGCCGAGTGGGGTTACTCGGGAGGGAAGCCTTTTTGGAGTATATCTGAGGCACATCCTTGGCCGAGTGAGGTCACTCGAGAGGGAAGCCATTTTAGATTGAATGCCGAAGGCACATCCTTAGCCGAGTGGGGTCACTCGGGAGGGGAACCTCTAGAGTGAATTTCGAAGGCGCATCCTTGGCCGAGTGGGGTCACTCGGGAGGGAAGCCTTTTTGTGATAATTGATTTAAGAAGAGTAATGAGTAGAACTGCATTTCATTAATGGGTGCCTCATTAAAAACCTTATCGGCCAAAACCCCTTTTCACTTTTTTATAAGGGGAAAAAGACCGATCAAGGAAAAGAGTGCACCATGCATATACATTGATGATAATTTCCTTTGTTTACAAGCATGTCTTAGCTAAAATACATCTTGGAATGAGTTGAGTTCCAGGTGTGAGGAATGATTTTTCCCGAGAGCTCTTCTAGTTTATATGCTCCATTATGAAGGTTATGTCGGATCTGGAATGGGCCATCCCAATTGGCTGCCAACTTGCCTTCCCGGGGGTTGCGTCTTGCCGACCCTTGTACCCGCCACACAAGGTCTCCTTCCTGAAACTCCCTCTTCGCAAGTGCCGAGTTGAATCGCCTAGCCATTCGCTGCATGCAGGCTTCGGCCATGATCTGTGTTTTGGTACGAATTTCATCGACCATGTCTATTTCGGCTCGGAGGGATGCCTCATTGCAGTTCTCCTCGAAGTATTGTCGCCGAAAAGATGGTTCCCCAACTTCAACGGGGATCATGGCATCAGTACCATATGTCAACCGAAAGGGGGTCTCCTTTGTCGTGGACTGAGGAGTGCACCGATAGGCCCATAGGACCTCCGCCAGCTCTTCGGCCCAAGCTCCTTTAGCATCTCCCAATCTCTTTTTTAACTCTGTGAGGATCACTTTATTGGCCGCTTCGGCTTGACCATATGATTGTGGATGGTTAACCGATGTGAACCGATGTTTGATGCCGAGGTCTTGGATGAATCGGTTGAGTTTTTGATCGGTGAATTGGAGACCATTGTCAATTACAAGGGCGTAAGGGATGCCGAAGCGAGTTATAATGTTTTTCCACAAGAACTTCTGAACATTGGCTGCTGTGATGTTGGCCAGTGGTTCGGCCTCGACCCACTTTGTGAAATAATCTACTGCAACCAATAAAAACTTGCATTGACCTTTAGCTATCGGGAACGGTTCAAGTATATCCATTCCCACATTGCGAACGGCCAAGGCGAGCTAATACTATGTAGTTCTTCGGCCGAGGCGTGGATAAGGTTGCCGTGTCTTTGGCATGAAAGACAACGCTTGACGAACTGCATGCAATCGCTTTTGAGAGTTGGCCAGAAAAAGCCTGCTCTAAGCACCTTATAGCTAAAGTCCTTCCTCCCGAGTGAGATCCACATATACCCTCATGAACTTCTCTCAGAACATAATCCGTTTGTGCAGAGTCGATGCATTTCAAAAGAGGTACCAAGAAACCCCTGCGATATAACTGTCCACCAATGACGGAATACCTGGCAGCTTGTGTTCGGAGTTTTTTGGCGACCGAAGGGTCGGACGGTTCTTTCCCAATCTCAAGGTAATCCATCATTTCGGTGATCCAAGTCTGGGTAGGCTTTTCGGTCGTCAAACATTCAATCGGTGTGATGCTCGGGGTGGTGAGGTCAAGGTGGAGCGTAGTTCTCAGCTGTCCTGGTTTTCGGCTGTTGCTAGCCAACCGAGCTAGTTGATCAGCTCTTTCGTTGTGTTCCCTTGGCGTATGTTTTACTTGCACCTCGTCGAAATGGTCACGCATTCTCCGAAACAAGTGATAATATTTCAGTAAGTTAGGGTCTTTCACCTGAAAGTTGTCATTGACTTGTTCCGATACCACTTTTGAGTCAGTCCAGCATACCACTCGCCGAGCTCCGATTTCTTGCGCAAGTCTCAAACCGGCCAACAATGCCTCATACTCGACCTGGTTATTTGAGGTTTTGAACGCAAACCATAAAGATTGCTCGAGTATTAGCCCAGTTGGTGCTTGTAGGATTATTCCCGCTCCACTGCCCTGGTTGTTCGAAGAACCATCAACATGCATCGTCCATAATTCACTGACAAAATGGCCTTGCGGCTGCAACTCATTGACAAAATCTGCTAGGCATTGGGCTTTAATCGGTCCCCGTGGTTCAAATGACAAATCGAACTCTGAAAGTTCGATTGTCCATGCCATCATGCGTCCGGCTAGTTCAAGTTTGCGCAAAACCTTGGCGATGGGGCAATCTGTGCAAACTATTATACGGTGGCTCTGAAAATATTGGCAAAGGCGCCGGGCCGTGTGGACTAGCCCGAGCGCTACTTTTTCAAGGAGTTGATATCTTGTTTCAGAATCTTGGAGCATCCTATTGATGAAGTACACAGGCTGCTGTACTTCTTTTTCTTGCACCAACACGGCACTAATTGCTTCATCCGACACACACAAGTATACGATTATGTTTGCCCGAGGATCGGGTTTTGAGAGGATTGGAGGGGAGCCGAGGCGTTGCTTTGACGTCTGAAATGCTTCTTCACAATCGGCCGACCATTCGAACTTCACCTTTTTTAACAGCCTAATGATAGGCTTTACCGTTTTAGCTAGGCATGGCAGGAATCTTGACAAGGATGTGAGCCGTCCAGCTAACCGTTGCACCTCTTTTAGGTTCTAAGGGCTTCTCATGCCGACGATTGCTTGGCATTTGTCAGGATTAGCCTCGATGCCTCTGGCCGATAGCATGAAGCCGAGAAACTTACCCCCGGAAACGCCAAATACACACTTCTCTGGATTCAATCGCATGTCATGTTTGTGAAGTTGTTGAAATACTTCTGCAAGGTCAGATAGGTGCCGATCAAGGTCTTCAGATTTGACGACCATGTCGTCTACGTATACTTCCATATTTTTTCCAATTTGATTCTGAAATACCTTATTCATCAACCTTTGATATGTGGCTCCAGCGTTCTTCAATCCGAAAGGCATCACCTGATAGCAATAATTGGCCGAATCGGTGATAAAAGCTGTTTTTTCCTCATCGCTGGGGTGCATGCGTATTTGATTGTATCCAGAATACGCGTCAAGAAAAGTGAGAAATTTATGCCCTGATGCTCCGTCAACTAATCGGTCAATGTTTGGCAATGGATAAGCATCCTTGGGGCATGCTTTGTTGAGATTAGTGTAGTCGGTACACATTCTCCATTTTCCGTTCGGCTTCCTTACCATGACCACATTTGCTAGCCATGTCGTATATTGTACTTCCCGAATGAATCTTGCCTCAATCAACTTGGCTACTTCGGCTTCGACTGCTAGTTTCTTGTCGGTCCCCATCTTTCGCTTGCGCTGAGCTATAGGTCGTGCGTTGGCGCAAACAGAGAGCTTGTGGCACATGAAATGTGGGTCGATGCCAGGCATATCTGACGGTACCCATGCAAAGAGATCTTAGTTCCGGATGATTATCTTGCTTAAAGCGGGGCGGTCTCTTACTGGAGTGCTAGCGCCGATGTAAGTCACCTGAGATGGTGACGAACCTATTTGCAAAGAGATCTTGGCTTCAATTGGTTCTACATGGTCCTCTTCATTAATCGGAGGATCAAGATCCCAGGCCTGGGTTTCCGCGGATGCCGAAGGTTTTACTGCATGAACTCTTTTCGATTTTGTTTGTTTCTCTTCTTCCATGGGAATTATTCGCAAGCTGGCATAATAGCACTCCCGCGCTATTTTCTGATCGGCATGAATGGTAAGGATGTTTCCTTTTTCGGATGGGAACTTCATTGCCAAATGTGGCGTAGAGACGATTGCTCCCAACATGTTTAATGGTGGCCGACCGAGCAAAATATTGTATGATGTGCTAGCGTGCACCACTATGTACTTCACCTGGATTTCTCTGTATTCCTGTTCATCAAAGCAAAAACGGGTAAAGAGTTTAATGTATCCCTTGGTGCTTACCCTTTCTCTAGAGAAACCGACCAGGGGATCATCATAGGGTATGAGCTCCTTCTCCGAGATACCCAATTGCTTGAAGGTGTTCCAGTATAGAATGTCTGTCGAACTGCCTTGATCGACCAATGTTTTCTTAACTATGCAGTTATGAATTTTGACACTGATCACCATTGGGTCATCCTGTATAGGATCAATGCCCTGAAAGTCGGCATTGGTGAAGGTGATTGATGGTAGCCTCCGAGTTGGCTGTTTGTCGACCACATAGACCGACCGAACGGCACACAAATGCCTCTTTTGGGCTGAGGAGGTTGAACCCCCTCTGGCAAATCCTCTAGCGATCGTGTTAATTACCCGCCGATGCGTTCCATGAGTATCTTCCTTTCAATCTCTTGATCGGCTGCGTTCCCGGCGATGCCTATCCGAGCGGTCAGACCTGTCTTGTTGCCGAGGGTGGTATGTGGACTGGTGCCGATACGAGTTTGGCCGATCGACGAAATTTTGGAGTTGTCCTTGTTTGATCAAGTCCTCAATTTTGTCTTTCAACGCGGCGCACTCTTCGGTCGAATGTCCGCGATTGCGGTGATATTTGCAAGATTTGTTGACATCGGCGCGGAGGCTCTTTTTGGGATTGCTAACACTTCTGATGTTAAGGCTTGTTCAAGCACAGCAGCTCGGCTTGCATTGAGCGGAGTATAATGGGAGTACTTTTGACCTCGCGCAGGTCGGTCACGCAAGGTTAACTCTTTGCCTCGGCCCCTGTATTTATCAGCTCGCCTTCGCAGGTCATTCATGTCCGAAGGAGGTTTTTTGCAGATGTTATTAACAAATGGTCCAGGTTTCAAAGCTGTTGTGAGATGATGGAGCGCTACTGCCGGATTAAGGTCTCGGATTTCCAAGGTTGCCTTGTTGAATCGATCCATTAAAGTTCGGAGCGACTCTTTCTTGTCTTGCCGAAGGCTAACCAGCGACAAGGACGTCAAGCTGTGAGGACGACTCGTGGTGAACTGAATAGTAAACTGGGATGATAGAGTGTTGAACGAGTCAATCGAATTGGGAGGGAGCCGAGTGAACCAACTCAGGGCCCTGCCTTTGAGAGATGTCAGAAAAATCTGACACAAGGCAGCATCGTTAGTTGTGCTCAAAGTCACCTGTGTCAAGAAAACATCAAGATGTTCATCAGGATCAGTGGTACCATCATATTTATCAATAGGCAAAGATTTCCAGTTATCCATCAGCGGGAGTTGCATGATAGTAGGGGTGAAAGGATGACGATGCGATCTAATAGTTGCCAAGTCTGTTGACCGACCCACGGTTGGTTGGGCGGAGGGTATCTTTTCAGGTGCTACGGAGGCATGTGGGGCCGAGGTGTAAACTTCGTGGGATTGATAGGACCCCTGAGTTTGCATGTTGGTTGCCTGAGTAGGCCTCCATGATGGATCTTGACATTTCAGTTCCTCGTTCTCGGCTCTTAAGGCTGAAAGCTCCTTTGTGTCCTTTCCCGCTGTTGTTTCATCGCGGCCATCTCCTGTTTCAACAGACGGACGATTTCAGAAAGATCGGTCTCGTCTTCAACCTCAACGTGTTCCTCCTCGTGCTGATGATCTGCCGTGTTGGTTCTCCTTGTTATCGCCATTATTCTGCTTAGTTAATCTTCACAAACGTCTCAGTTCGGCCCCACGGTGGGCGCCAAATGTACCTGTCTGATGGGCACACTAAGTCTTCTGGAAGTCCAAAGGCCGAACGAGAGCTCCGATCCAATGCGCTAGTGAAAGGGTTGGTACCTGCAAAAGGCACTCCAACGCTCAAGTCAGGACAAGCTCGAATATCTAGGATAATTAATGAACAATGACGTTACCTTTTGTCTTGAGCTATTTATACTGACATTTATGGGCCCTGACCTCTCTGGGCCCTATGACAAGATTACCATACTAGGTAATACGCCTCTAATCGGCTTATCAATGTGATTAACTCTTAACTCTTGATTAAGGGTAATTCTTGTCCCTTGATTAATGATAGTTCGTATTCGATAGGTATCCAATGGTCGATCAGCCGTCAGCCACCTGGTTCGGCCCTTCAGGAGCCGATTGGGTGTCGGCCACCTGGTTCGGCCTTTCAGGTGCCGATTGGGTGTCGGCCATATGGTGACCGACAGGCCTTGCCAGTACATGACTCAACAAGAAAACTCTCGAAGAATGTTTGAGGGGCTGCGTTCAATAGCTTCTTCAACACAAAATAAGATATTCATGGAAGTAGTCTCCTCCAAGTTAGTGCTACATGATGAAGAGACCCTGAAACTTGTAGCAGCTCTTAGAAACCACTTCGAACCAAGTTTGTTAAACAATTTGACGATGAAAGATAATCATATAGTAATGGAGACTGACCATCCTTCGGAGACAGGGGTTTCTCAACACACTTATACCACTAATTCTCAATGAATGTTGATTTGGAGTTGTCAGGGAGCCGGTGCACGTTGCTTTTCTTCGTTAGTAAACGATTTGATTATGGAATATCGTGTCGGGTTACTTTATCTCATGGAAACATACATTAGTGGTGATCAAGCTTTACGTGTTTCACATAGAATCTCTCTTGATAAGTGTCATATGGTGAAAGCGCAAGGACAAGTTGGAGGCTTGTGGTGTATGTGGGATTCAAGTAAATGGAATATCGAAGTCATGGATCACTCAAATCAGTATGTTCACCTTAAGGTCCTAGAGGGTGATACTCATTGGTTTTGTACCATGGTATACGTTATCCCTCACCCACAAGGTCGCATAACCCTTTAGAGGGACATTTGTAGGTTAGCATCATCTATGGAAGCGGCATGGATGCTCAAGGGTGATTTTAATGCAATCTTACACACTCATGAGCGAACAAGGAGAATCAGTAATTCATTCTTACATGGTGATCTAGCATTCCAGAACTGTGTCAATCATTGTAGCTTACTTGATATTAGTTACCATGGAGCCCATTCACTTGGCATCAAGGAATATATAGTTTTTGTACATTTGGATAGGGTATTGGCATCTTTAAATTGGCAGTTTTTGTTTCCTGAGGTGACTCTTAGACACCTGAACCCTATGAAATTAGACCATGCTCCACTTTTTTTGAAGTTACACCCTAATCTCTTTGACTACCACTCTAGAAGACCTTTCATTTTGAAGCAGTCTAGATTATGCATGAGGAGTTTCTTGATCTCTTGAAACGCGAATCGAATATGCATAATAATTGGAATCAACGGTTTAACCAGACGAAGCAATCAGCCAATCACTACTAGATAGGAACAGGTTCACATTTGGCAATGTATTCTACACAAAACGTAGACTTCTACAATGCTTAAATGGAATCACGCGTAAGCTGCTTCAAGGTCCAAATCCTTTCCTTGAATGGCTTTAACATGATTTGTGGTCTGAGCTTGACCAAATACTGGTGCGAGAAGAGATAATATAGTTTCAAAAGTCTAGATGTAAATGGTTGCAAATGGACACTTTTTTTTTTGTTAAACAAATCTGCAATAGGTATTATCTCAGTCTTTGGTACCTAAATGGATTTGGGTCCATAAATGTTAGTGTTTGAGGTTTTGGAACACCCCTTCTTGTGCATGTGGCTGTTGATCAAACACTTTATACAACGCTTTATCATAACAACCCAACAAAATGTTATTTCAAGCATGGCCATCTAACTTTATATTCGCCCTCTAGTCTAATTCTGACCTGCTCCTATACTATCACATTTCAACACATGAAAAAGTAATAGGTTAACTGTCAAGTCAAAAAATGATTTTAGACTCCTGATTTTGGACCCCTTAGGTTTTTAAGTTTTAATGTCAATAAACATAAACGTTTTTCTAAAGAAAAGTTTTGTAAACAAAGTATTAAGATGAATAGGCACTAAGACAAATGAGTTATCAAGTCAGACAAAACATTTAGTCTAATCAACACACGCTTTTGATTTTATATCATTTACAATGTTTGATAACTAAATTGTTTGTTTTTGTATGATTCCTTAACAGATCGAATAAACAAAAGCTTGAAGTACAGTGAAAAACACACAGAAGGGGGAGTTGAATGTGTGTGTATGAAGGATTTTAAAAACGTTTTTGCAAAGGTACTAATTTTCGTTAGAAAATAATGGTTCAGCTGCGTAAGGAAAGTGCAAGGTTGATTAAAAGGAACTATGCGTCCGAAGTTCTATCGTCTGTTCAAAAAATGATTTTCTCAGTTAAACAAATATGAGTTCGTCTAAATATTATTTAGAAGATAGATAGCAGTAGAGGAAGTTTTTCAAAGTGATGAGTCAATATAAGTGAAACTGCATTTCTAAGTTAAATAATAGTGCAAAGAGTTTTTATACTGGTTCACTCGTTTTGAGCTACGTCCAGTCTCCTTCAACTGAAGGGTTCCACTAATCACAATGAATTACAAGTATTCTCAACCACTTCTGGTTCTTCAACCTCACTCACTAACGCTAGTATT